TACGTAGGAATAAACCTACCAGAGATGAAAGACCTGTATGTACTCTGGAAACTATAAATCACTGTTGAAAGAAATGAAGATGACACAAAGAAATGGAAAGACATTCCATGCTCATGGATTGGAAGAACAAATATTGTTAAAATGTCTATACTACCCAGAGAAATCTGTACACGTAATACAATCCGTATCAAAATACCAACAGCATTTTTCGTAGAACTAGAACAAAGAATATTAAATTTGTATAGAACCATAAAATATCCCAGTAGCCAAAGCAATCTTGAAAAACAAAGCTGGAGGCATCCCAATTCCAGACTTCAAGTTCTAGTACAAAGCTGTAGTAATCAAAACAGTATGGTACTGGCACAAAAAGAGACACATAGATCAATGCAACAGAATGGAAAACTCAGAAATGAACCCCCAATTATATGGTTAATTAATCTTTGACAAAGCTGGAAAGAATATCCAATGGAAAAAAGACTTTCTCTTCAACAAATGGGCAGCAACATGCAAAAGAATGAAATTGGACTACTTTCTTACACCGTACACAAAAATACAAAATAATCAAAGACCTAAATGTGAGACGTGAAACCATGCAAAACCTAGAAGAGAACAGAGGCAATAGCTTCTTTGACATCAGCCATAGAAACCTCTCTCTAGGTATGTCTCCTCAGGCAAGGGAAACAAAAGCAAAAATAAACTTGGGACTACATCAAAATAAAAAGCTTCTGCACAGTTAATAAAACTAAAGGGCAACCTACAGAATGGGAGAAAATGTTTGGAAATGACATCCAATAAAGGGTTAATATCCAAAATATAAAGAAACTATACAACTCAACACCCCAAAAACAAACCATCCAATTTAAGAAATGGGCAGAAGAAATGAACAGACATTTTTCCAAAGACACACAGATGACCAACAGACACATGAAAAGATATTTGGCATCACTTATCATCAGGGAAATGGCAAATCAAAACTACAATCAGATATCACCTCACATCTGTCAGAGTGATTAAAGTCAACAACACACAAAACAACAGATATTAGCAAGAATGTGGGGAAAGGAGAATGCTCTTGCACTGTTGGTGGGAATACAGTCTGGTGCAGCCACTCTGGAAAACAGCATGGAAGTCTTCAAAAAGTTGAAAATAGAACTATCATACAATCCAGAGATTGCAGTAGTAGCCATTTACCCAAAGAATACAAAAATACTTCAAAATAATTCAAAGAGATATATACACCCTAATGTTTAAAGCAGCATTATCTACAATACCCAAATTATGGAAACAGCCCACGTGTCCATTGACTGATGAGTGGATAAAGTGGATGAATGGATATAGAAAAAGTGTTATATATATATGTATATATGTATGTATAAGTATATATATAAGTGTATCAAAGTACACTTGGTATATATACATATATATTCCATTTTATATATGTGTGTATATATGTATATATAAGTATATATATATATGTGTGTGTGTGTGTATATATATATATATACACAAGTATACCAAAGAAGCTATTAAGAAGCGATTGCCTCTGTTCTTTTCTATATATTATATAATTGAATATATATATTCGTGTGTGTGTGTGTGTATATGTGTGTGTGGAATATTACTCAGCCATAAAAAAAGAATGAAATCTTAACATTTACAACAAATTGGATGGAGCTAAAGAGTATAATACTGAACGAAATTAATTCAGTCAGATAAAGACAAATACCATATGATTTCACGCATATGTGAAATTTAAGAAACAAATTTAAGAAAACAAGCAGAAGGGAAAAAAGGAGAAAGAGCAAACCAAGAAACAGACTCTTAACAACAGAGAACAAACTGATGGTTACCAGATGGGTAAAATAGGCGATGGGGATTAAAGAGGGCACTTGTGATGAGCACCGGGTGATGTATGGAAGTGTTGAATCACCATATTGTACACCTGAAACTAATGTAACACTGTATGTTAACTAACTGGAATTAAAATAAAGCCTTAGAAAAATAAAATGAAAGATCGAAAGTATGTGTGTTGGCGTGTATTTATGTGCATGTCTTCATACATCATGCACATTATACATGCAGATTATTATTTGTTGAGTACTTTCCATCATGCACGAGTCCAGGCAGAAGAAATAAAAGCAGCTTGACTACGATGGATAAGAAAAGTGTGTTGTGGGTAAGGGCCTGGTTTCTTGGGCCTCGAGTTTTTGAACACAGTGGACACCAATTCCCAAGCCAAGCTGATGGAGTCTGACAAGGTATACAGGTGCAGCCGGTTGGAGGGTTCATGTAAGTAGGGAATAAAGGGCAAGGCCCTGAAAAGAAATGACCATGTTCCCATGCCATCCCCACCAGGAAACTGATTCCTTGTTCAAAACCAAACTCAGATGTCACCTCCAAGCCTTTCCTTTCCTAGATATAGGAAAACTTGGATTCAAACACAATAAAGCAATCATTAACTCTAGAAATATCGAGAGGTTGCATGAAGAAAGGTATTCTGTGTTTTCCTTATAGAGCATCATTTGGCTTAGTTGTGTATAATAGTTACATAGTCACAATAAGGAAAACACAGAATATGGATTTTGAGGAAAAAGGGGAAAAAGGGGGGGAGACAGTTACCTAGGGAGGATAAAGTGGAGGAAGTAGGGTGTGTAAGTGAACTACAGGACTTATCTACCATGACAAGAAAACAGTAGATAATGCCTAAAATTGATAAATCAAAAGGTATTATTTAAAGATACAGAGAGAAGAAACAGTTAAGAGCTGACAGTATGATTAGAAGAGTGGAGAAGTGACAAGAACTACATTTTGTGTAAAATTTGGCATGTTTGGGCTTATATTTACATGTAACATCATGGCATTTAAAACAAATTTTAAGAAGCCCTTCATGGGGCGCCCATGTGGCTCAGTCAGTCAAGTGTCAGATTTTGGCTCAGGTCATGATTTTGCAGTCTGTGAGTTTAAGCCCCATGTCAGGCTCTGCTGACAGCTCAGATCCTGGAGCCTGGTCTGGATTCTGCGTCTCCCTCTATCTCTGCCCATTCCCCATTCATGCCCTCTCTTTCTCTCTTTGTCTCTCTCTCTCTCTCTCTCTCTCTCTCTCTCTTTGTCTCTCTCTCTCTCTCTCTCCCTCTCCTCTCAAAAATAAACATTAAAAAAATTTTTTTAAAGAAGGCTTTCCTGAACCTCCCCATCCTCTCACATTGAGCCCCCTCTGCGATAACAGTTCATACCAGATGCCTCATGGCTGCCTCCCTTCCCAGACTGGAGGGACTCTCTTATTCATTCCTTTATGTCAGAGTCGTGCCCAGTGTCTAACACCTGAGAAGTGCTTAGCACCTGTGAGGAAGAATGGATGAATACAGTACTGTTGGGACAAACCACCTGAATGATTGCAATTGGGACATAATCTTAAGTCTTAAGAATAGGAACCACATAACAACAATAGTGATGCTCATATAATAATGTTAATAATTATTGGATAGCTGTAAACCCCAATAGCTCCATCCCCTATAACCTGTATTTTACTGAACTCTGATGTCGCATCTACCCCGTGGCATGCCTCCTGGACTTGTCCCTTACCACCTGGCCCCTATACTAGCCCTCCACAAGACACTCCTCATTTCATGCTTAAGTGACTGACTGACTAGTCTTTCTGTGCCTCAGTCTCTGCTCTACCTCAGCCTTCCTCCCACCCCCATATATTCCTGAATCAGGGATACTCTAGAATTCCCAGTACTCCACTCTTATCACATTCTTCTTCAAGAACTGCAGTGACGTCTTACCCTTTGGAGTCCAATGTTCTCCTTCTTTCTGATCTTTCTGCTCTTCCGGAACTTGACTTTTTGGCCCATCCCATGTTTCCTCCACACCTCCCCAGAGCTCACTACCCTGCAGGTCAGGTCAGTCTCATTACCACATCACAGTCAGCCCTCCTTCCCACCTCTTATTCCACCAGACTTCTTTTCACCCAAAAGACCAGAGCATCCCCATGGCCTGGGAATATAATTGTACTGTTGAGATACCTATGCATAATCTTCCTGTATTTAATCAATAACTTACTGCAATCTGTCTTACTTTTCTACTGTGGAAAAAAAAAACTCAGGTTTTTCTTCATACTAAAATCAACATTCCTAAATAGAATATGCCTTTAAAAATAACATTATTATTTCCTTTATAAATAAATATAACTTTCAATTTTGACAGATTAATAAGATGAACCTTATGTAAACTGATATTTTAAAAGTACAGACAACTTTAAATACTACCTTGCTTTTAATTTCAAAAATTCTTTTTTCTGTTGTTGTGCTGCAATCTTCAATGTCTTAATTTCTCACTAAATGATTATTTTCTCCTTTTCTTTAACTCAGATCATTTAGAGAATTCATTTGATGAAGTATTGAGGACTCTAATTGTTTAATGGGTAGAAATTAGTCCCTGCAAAGAGTACTTTAAAAACTGGCAAATACCAGGCATAATTACAAATTCTTTAGAAGAATCTATTTCTGTACAATAGGTTAATTGGTTATAAGTAGACAGCACCGGCCACAATTTAAACCCGGCTTCCAATTTCATCCATGATTTTTTTTAACAAATGTAAGTGGCTAATTATGATCAAATTAGTCCCCTTGAAGGAACAATTGGCTACTTATCCCTGATTTTCAAGATTTAAGTGGTCTAACGCACCTGCAATTAGCTCCCCACCAGCATACTGCCTACGGATCCAGAGTTATTTCCCAAAGTTGTCAAAATCTTGCCTCATAATGAGAACTCTACAGTAAGATGACCAATGTATAGTTTAGATTGTGATGACTTCTTTGGAAGAATCAAAGCAATTTTTAAGAAATTGAAGCCAAAATAGAAATTTGCTTAAGGGGGAAAATTGTTCTGGGGCAAGTTGATCCAGATAATTGTCTCAACTCTCTGGACTACCCACATATAGATGGCTTATTCACCTATGTGATTATTGAAAGTACTTACCCCTCTTTTCTTTATTTTAGTGGTGCAATCTTTGCATAGACTTGGTAGCATTTACCAGTGAAATATTCAAGGGAGCAGTTTTCCAGTCATTGGATGGAATTATTGTCTCAGCTAACTGTAAGCTACGGAAGATCTTCACTTTAAAATGCAAGCCTCAAGACACTGCTGATAAAGATGGTATGTTCAAATTGCTACCAAGGTTTTTAAAGTCTCCAGCGTGTTTTTAAAAATTAGACATACCTTTGGTTAGTATGAGTATCTTATTTTATTGTGGAATAAACACTTAACATGTTCCTTCACAAATTTTTAGGTATATAACATGTTATTGTTGACTGCAGGTACAGTGCTGTATAGCAGATCTCTAGAGTTTATCCATATTGACCATAACCCATCGATTAGTAATTCCCCATTTCCCCCCTCCTCAACTGCTGGTAACCACCATTCCACTCTGATTCTATGAATTTAATTATTGTAGTTGCCTTATATACATAAAATCATATAGTATTTGTCTCTCTATAGTTGGCTTATTTCACTTAGCGATAAGACCTCATGGTTCATCCATGTTGTAGCATATGTCATTCTTTACTCTGAATCATGTGTTTATTTTAACTATAGCTGAATGTCACAAAGATACCTTTTTCATTTTTGTGATTATTTTTCTTTTTTGTTTATGATAGCGGTTACCATGAAAGTCAGTCAAGGTTCTTAGTTGCAAGCAATGGGATCCTTTCTAGGTAGTTGAAACAGAAAAAAAGAATTTATTTAAGGAAATTAGCCAGTTCATAGAATCTCAGTGATATCCAGAAAGTCAGGCTTAGATGCCACAGCCAAAAACAAATGCAGCTCCCACTACAGGACTCCTCCAAGGAAGATCCCCAAGAGCTACTGCAACTGGATGAGGACTCTGTAAGTCACAACATAATGCAGGGCCCTAGTTCCAAAATTTCTGTCATTGCAGCTCTAGAGAACTGAGGTCTTCTTCCTCGCCACCCTCACCATAAGTAGACTTCTTCATGCTTCTCTTTACTAAACAAAGGCAGATGGCTATGTCAGACTTGTAGAGCCTACGTCACATGCTGCAAGGGAGGCTAGCAAAAGCAAATGTCTGATTTCCAACTAAGGAGATAGGACTCATTGATATAGTAAAAGGGTATTCAAAAGATGTCAACATAAAAAAGCTCTGCCATTGTCCAATTATACTATCTCTTTATTCTGTGTATATTTCATTAGCTCATTTGGGAGAAATTACATTTATATGTTAATTTTCCAATAATCATGTTAAAATAGGAAAATGATTGAGTTATTCCTCATATTATTTGTAGAAAGATTGGAAATATACACATTGATTATTCATTATACGATTAATAAATATATTCTGCAGATAACTGAACTATCTAGAATTTATAAGATGGCACAAACTCTCCTAAGATAGCCTTAAACAACTGAAAGTATTGAGAGAATACTGATGCTTCCTCTTGATTTTTGTCTGGGATTATTTTTAACAAAATCAATTTTTCTAGGAGCCCAGGAAACAGAGCAGCACGTAAGATGGCAAAGGTGATTTCTTAGAAGTTTGTATAAAGTAGACTTTAGACTTGTGCTCTGTCTGGATGAGTGGCTGAGAAATCCTTGTGTGGTTCACTCTGTGGAACAGGACACTGTGCCTATAAATTTCATTTGATAACAAAACACAGTAGTGCATTAACAGCTCCCAAAGAGATTACAAGGCAGGAAGTGCAGCCACTCATCTTATATGTCATTTAAAGTCTATACAAGAAAGCAGAAGACTTCATTTTTAAAAAAAAATAGCACCTAGCTAATAAGAAACCTCAAAATTTATAGAAATATATGTGCAGTCTACATCAGATCATAGGAGGTAAATCATAACCTGATATTTTTAAATAAATGTAATGAAAAGAGTAAATCAAAATTTGGCATATTAAATACATGTTTTTATCTCTGATCCTTCCTCAAACCCCACTAAAATTATGGGACTAAAAATGGTAATAAACCAACCAAGATGAAGAGTATCGAAAAGTAGCAAACAACAGACAAAGGGTGTTCATAAATTTTGTAAGACTGAGGAGCGACAACTGACTTAGAAGAGCAGAGGAAGCTGAAACTATTGGGTTTACAGAGAGAATTGCCAATGAGATTCATAATGTAGAAGCTCAGAGGGGCTCAAGAATTGGCAGCCCACTGCCAAAGGCAGAAATAAAAGTGCGGCTAAAAACAAGGAAATTGGCTAAAATTCCATATGGGCTGCTAACTGATCCCAAATTCCCTTTCTAACTCCAAATAACCAGACAATAGGATATTTATTCTTTGGAGAAACTGATCCAGAGAACTTATCAACTCAGGTACATTGGATACATGTTAGATAGACACCAGAACTAACAGGAAGAAGGAAATAAATAAAGTAGGAAACAGATACATGTTTTTCTCAGAGTTAAGAAAACATACTGCATCTATAAAATATGAATAATTTGTTCTTGTTATATTTTAATACATTTTACTGAAGTTTATTATCTTATAAGCATTTTATATAATTTACAAGTCATAAGTGTACAGTTTTATGAATTACTACAAAGTGAACACATTTATAAAACCATCACCCAGATCAAGAAATAACAAACGTCTTAGAATCCCTGCTCATAATCCCCTCCCAATCATGACCCTCTGTCTTCTTCTGAGAAGTCACTCTCTCCTGACTTCTAACAATTTAAATTAATTTTACCTATTTTTGAAGTTTATTTAAGTAGAATCATATAGTATATATTCTTGCCATATATATAATCTTTAACAAAACAGTTTGTGAGATCCATTTATTTTGGTAATTTAATTACTGTACATCGTATGACATTGTGTGAATGTACCACAGTTTATTTGTCCTTATTAGGCATTTTGAATAGTGTTGCTAGGATCATTCTACATTTCTCTTGGAGCTTCTAGATAGGCATTTCTTTAGGTATTTGTCAAGGAGCTGAATGAATACATACTTTGGCATTCTTAATTTCAGTTATTTTTTTATTCTATAATTAACGTTAGATTCTTTTTTATAGTTTCCATTTCTCAGCTGAAATTCTCTATCTCACTATTGAATTTCTCAAATATATTAAGCAAATTTATTTTAAAAGGCATGGCTCACGGTTCCAATATCTGTCTCTCCTGTGGATCTGGTTTTTTATGTGTGTGTTTTTCTCTTGTTCTTGTATCCTGATATGTCTAGTAAGTTTTGAGTGTATACTAGACATTCTGACTTAGAAACTATCCAGCTATTTTGAGACTGTATTGTATTGACTTTCTTCAGAGATTTAGAGTAAAAAAAATTTTTAAATAAGTCCAAAAGACTTAAAATAAGACAAAAATGTTAAGAATATTAGAAGTTAGTCCAAGAGGCCCATCAGCAGAATGATAGGATTCTAAATGAGAGACTAGAGGAAACAGGAAGGATGATATATAGAAAGATTTCCCAAAATTAAAGGCCAGCTGTTTTCAGATTGACATAGCTCATCAAAAACAGAAAAAGAAAAAAAGCAAGAAGAAAACACTCACCACTGTGTAATTTCAGAATAGGAGAGAAAAAGAGAAAAAAGTATTTAAGCTTCCAGAATTTTTTTTTAAAATTCAAGTTGCATACAAAGGAGTATGAATAAATATAGAAAAATAAAGAATAAGAATAATGATGTCTGACCTCATACAACAATATTAGATGGTAGAAGACCTGGAAACTATACCTTCAGTATATAAGGAAAAATTACTTTCAACTTAGACTTTTACACCCATCCAGTCTAGCAATTAAATGATTTCAGAATAAAGGTGTTTACAGACATGCAGGGTCTCAGAAATTTATATTTATTTAAGTCCTTTATAAGAAAAGATCTGGAAGATATTCTCCACAAAATTTAAGGAGAAGATTGAGAAAAAGGAGTATGTGGGATCCAAGAAACAGAGGATTTCAGAGAAAAGCAAAGAGAATTTTCAGAATTATGGTTAAAGGAATTCAAAGGATGACACTTGTTCAGCACATCTTAGAAAACAGTCTAGATTTTAGCACAAAAATTGAGGCTTTCAAAAGGAAAGTCTTTAGGACAAGTATATATCTGATAGAATATGATGTGTTTGAACATGAAATGTAAAGTTGGTTGTGAATTTGTAGTGCTAATAGGGAGTTTGGGAAGAATTAATGTGGGGTGTGTAGAAAAATCTATGACAAAATAAAGCAGTGATCAACTCCAAGGGAAACACAAAGTTGTACAAGAAAAGAAATGTAATCATAGCATATTACATGGCTCCAAAGTGTACAGCTTTTTTTTAAAAAAAATAGATTTTAGGGGCGCCTGGGTGGCTTAGTCGGTTAAGCGTCCGACTTTCGCTTAGGTCATGATCTCGCGGTTCGTGGGTTCGAGCCCCGTGTCGGGCTCTGTGCTCAGAGCCTGGAGCCTGTTTCAGAGTCTGTGACTCCCTCTCTCTCTGACCCTCCCCTGCTCACGCTGTCTCTCTCTCTCTCTCTCTCTCTCCTAGAAATAAATAAAACATTTAAAAAAATAGATTTTATTTTTTAGGGCAGTTTTAGGTTCACAACAAAATTGAATGGAAACTACAGAGAATTTCTATATCTTCCTAACCCCCACATATGCACAGTCTCCCCGACTATAACCACCCATACCAGAGTGGTACATTTGCCAAAATTAATGAACTTACATAGACACATTATTATCACCCAAAGTCTCCATAATTTACATTAGAATTCCCTCTTAGTATTGTATACTCACTCAGTGGGTTTTGACAGATGAATAACATGTATCTAACAATATAGTATCATACAGAATAGTTTCACTGCCCTTGTCTTCTGGGTTCCACCCATTCATCCCTCCCTCCCTATTAATTCCTGGCCACCATTGGTCTTTTTATTGTCTTCATAGTTTTGCCTTTGCCAGAATGTTACATAGTTGGAATCATACAGCATGTGGCCATTTTGGACTGATTTCTTTCACTTAGTAATATGCATTTTAAAAGCTCCTCCAGGGGTGCCTGGGTGGCTTAATCATTTGAGCATCTGACTTTGGCTCAGGTCATAATCTTGCAGTTTGTGGATTCAAGCCCATATCAAGCTCTCTGCTGTCATCACGGAGCCTGCTTCAGATCCCCTGTCTGCCTCTCTCTCTGGCCCTCCC